ATTATTGGCGATCACTTGAAATTATAATCATATTAACCCTAACAAGATTTTTAATTATCTTATTAAGCGTGATTACAAATACCAAATTCCCTTTAAACATGCAATAAAGGCGTGATCAAGCAATAAAAATAAAATAATCAAGCAACATAATAATAAAAATAATGATCATGACAATAAAATTATAATCATAATAATAATCATCATAAAGAATAATAATCATAATAATAATAATCATAATAATAATCATCATAATAATAATCATCATAAATAAAATAATCATCATAAAATCATCATCATAAAATTATAATAATAATATTCATACTCATCATAAATTATAATCATTATAATCATAATCATGTTCATGTTAATATTAAAGCATAATAATAGCAAGATCCTAGGCATGATACTAACAAGATTAATAACAAACCCTATCATGTCACTAAGCAATAAAAATCAAATCTTTAGCCCTAACATGATACTAACAATCATAAATATTAGGAAGAACATAGGAAGCATCGCAAGAATCATAATAAGCATATTTAATATTAAAATTACCCTAGACATGATACTAGGAATATCATAATAACAATTTAAACATGATCATAACATCATAACGTCAATGAAAACCGTTAAAGCACTTACTATGATGCCTTGTACCTCTTTCTAATAACAAAATACACACGTTAGTAACTTCAAGGAAAATAATAAACAAACAATTAAATTAAATAATTGAAATAAAGATTTGGGACCAAACCCTCAGAAATTAAAACCTTTCACGTCTAGGGCGAAGGTAACTTCGAATATGGCTAGATGTTTCTAGATCTTGTGAATGCGGAATTTTGTATGTAAACAAAGTTTAGAAAAAGAAAGAAAGAAACAAAGAGATATGAATGAAGGAGAAAGATGGATGAATGAATTAGAAGAGAATTAGAGAATTAATGATTGCGAATGAAAACTGATTGTAGGTGAATCAAAACAGAGTTTTTAATACGTTATTTATAGAGAAATCAGCCAAAAAGATAAAATATCAAAATAGAGCATTTGGCGCACGCAAAACAGAGCTGGCGCCAGCACCAGCTAATTGGCGCTAGGCGCCAATGGCTACCACCAGGCGCCAATGGCTAGCGCCAGGCGCCAGGCCTGGTTCCAGGCGCCAATGCCTGGAGTCAGGCGCCAGACCTGTTTTCAACGCGTTTTCGAATAATCTAGAAGACTAAAACCATTCCTAATTGCATTAGGAATGTTAAATCATATTAGGCCCTCCCCTAGATCATTGGGCCGCATATAAAGCTCAAACCGGGCCCACTTTAGTAAATTGGCCATAACTTCCTCAATATTCATCGGAATTGGGCTTATAATATATCGTTGGAAAGGTCTTTACAAGACCCATCCAACTACACTATTATTGGACCCATATCATGGACCAACCAAACTGGATTGGCTGTTTTCTTAAAATAAGTTTTCAAAAACAGAGAGAAGAGAAAAGAAATTAAAAATATCCGCAACACTAAACTTTCCACACTTTCGCTTCATTCGATTATGATTCGACGTGAAAGATACTCATCACTGGGTTTGGTTTTGGGGAGACACAAATGGGTGTCTACACACCCACATATGACTCTCCTTGTGGAGGCTATGCAGCCATTCATTGTCCTCCAAGTTATACTCCGCTATGAACTCAGCCCATCGGGTATTGAACTCCTCGGGATCAAAACTCTCATACACCACCTCTTTCAGGGGGTTGACAAACTCTTGGTACCTAGACAAAAATTAATTTACCATCACAATATATACAATGTCTAAAAAAACTATGGTCTAAAACTATAACATCTTGAAAAAAACACAAATGCAAGCAAATTATATTTAACAAAACAGCACAGCAACTTGAAGACTCTAACTCTGTCTAGTGTGTTTAGCAACAATCTTTTGTATACCATAAAGCCTCCTGATCATTTTGCTACTGTATATATCTGCTCTTAAGGCCTAATAGATCAGACTCCTCTTCACAAAAAAAAAATAACAGAAAAAATAAACTCTGGCTCTGATAGTTCATATATTTTTTATCCTGCACCCAACTTGGCATATCATTAAACTATTACATCAGATTTGAAGGCCAAATATTAGCCAGCATCAGTCACAACAGATCATATATCATTAAACTTATATTGTACTCACAACAGTTCATATATCATTAAACTTATATTGATCAATAATTATCTAACTCTTATTCTGAAGCTTGTTAAGGCCTAATAGATCAGACTCCTCTTCACAAAAAAAATAAAACAAAAATTTTTTAATTATCCTATATTGAACTCATACAGCAGATTACTGTACTCATTGAAGTCAGACAACACCTAATATGAACTAATAATTTCATAAGCCACTTACCGTGCGCACTTGCTAAGTTTTTCAGGGATCTTGCTCATTATATGCCATATGCACCAACGATGAATCGTGTTTGGCATGACTTCAGCTAGGGGCCTCCGCATAGCTGCCGCTTGGTCAGTCAAAATGGCACTAGGAGCTTTGTTGTTCATACAAGCTAGCCACTGCTGAAATATCCACCGAAAAGTATCGCAGTCTTCATGAGAAACAAGAGCACATCCCAACAACAACGATTGCTCGTGGTGGTTCACACCAACAAAGTTCGCAAATAATGGGAACTCGTACTCATTTGTTAGGTATGTTGCGTCGAAGCATACCACATCCCCAAAGTCCTCATAAGCAACCCTACTTCTTGCATCCACCCACATCACATCCTTAAGCCTCCCTTCTTCATCCAACCGTTGGGAATGGAAAAAATTTTGGTTGTCGGATTGTATTTTTCCAAAAAACTCCATCATTGCCACTGAGTCCCCTCCAACCATCTTCAACCGCTTTGCCTTGTACACCTCATGTTGTAAGTCTTTGACGGTGAGACGCATTTTGTCCACTCCTTTTCTTTTGGATGCCATGCAACCGTGTATTTGAGAAACTGGTACACCTAGCTCATAGTAATCCATCAACGTCCTCCTCAATGATGGGGTCAGGTGCTTCATGCGGTACTCCTTCACAAGCTTAGAATTTGCTGGATGAATCTGGTGATTATGCTCTAGGTGCACTGTCTTCAACACCCACAAGCCATCTTCATTCATTCTAGCATAAACACGGGCCTCACATTCACACTTTTTCGAAGTCCTCTTCATACGACGTAACTGATCCTCACATACCACCCCATCAACTAAACCACCTGAACCTCCAACACCCATTGCCTTTGCCCTCTTCTTGGCTTCCCTCCTAGCCCTCATGTCTGGTTTTCCCCAACACTCACACTTCCACGTGTTAGCTATTCTTTTTTTCTTGTTGTCGCCTTGAACCCTAGACACTCCAAACCCCATCTGCTCAGCATACTCCTTATAGTAGGCTTCAACATCTTCCGAAGACGAGAAGACCATCCCTTCCTTAGGCTCTTCAACAATTAGTGTCATGTCATTGCTACCAACTGCCATATCGTTGCTACCAACCACAGTATGAGTTGTCTGAATTGTATTCAAGGGGGATAAATACCCAACATTCATGTTAACATCTTCACTAACACTATCTGCAACAACTGTGTCTTCTAAAACCTCCATATCAATACCCTCCATATCAATACCCTCCAACATATCAATACCCTCCAACATATCAATGTTACTCCTCCTGACCTTAACTCCACTGCCCCTATCACCAACACCAACATTACTGCCCCTTATAACATCTTCACTAACACTATCTGCAAGAACTATGTCTTCTATACCCTCCATATGAATATACTCCTAAACTTAACTCCACTCTTATAACATCAAAAACAATTCACTTCCACCCTTCAAAAGCAGAACACCAACAGAATTATGATACAAATTGAAACAATCATAACTCTGCGAACAAAGTACGACAATTCAACCAACACGTTTTGGCATCACACAAGACTATAAAACAGTTTTAGAAAGTATGAATTGAATGTTTATCCAAAATCAATCAACAATTATCAGAACTTCAAACCCCATTATAACAGATCGCATTACATATCATTATTGTACAAATTAAAACAACCATATTCTGTGTAACTACAACCAATTTAAAAAAGTATGAAAAATCGACCAAGACAACACCAACACGTTTTTGCAGTAACAAGACAACAACACATTCTCATATTTTCCATTTTACACTCTTTAAAACAAAATCAATCACCCATTTTTAGCCAATTTGTACCATTTCAACATAGGAATGTCAACGCATAACCCCATTACTTTCAATTATTCTGATTTCGGTCTCAATTGTGAATTCAATTTGACCAAAACCCTAGAACCAGAACAACAGATCAGAACAAAAATTAACATGAAGGGACGAAGAAGAAAGAATAGAAAACTTCACCAACCTGTTATCTTCGACGGATTTCCGACAACTTGAAGACCAATTAAGTCATCTGGGTAGGTTAGGAGAGGTTAGGAGCTCTGATAGAGTTGAGGAGAGCTGTGAGCTAATTCTGAAAGTGGTGAGAGGAGTTGAGCTAATTATGTTATTCCGTTTTCTTGTTACGCCATTATTCAACCAATTTGACACATAAGTTGTCCCCACGAAATCCGACTCAGCATCTCAGTAAGTGAAAAACATCAAAATATTTTCAAAACTACCATTGTGAGGAACAACCTTGTTTCTCACGATGAGAAACTGGGGATGAGCAACTGGGGCTCGCTCAATTAAAATGTCACAAATTGTTGAATAAAGCGAACTTTCATTAACTTATGTAAGACATATTAAAGTTACCCTATACATATATTATTTCCTCTGTTCTATTAATAATATTGCAACAAGGATGAAATTACGCATCCCAAAACTCATTTTATATGCTAAATATCTATAATTGTGTAAGAGTCAAATTATAAAAAGTTGATATTGTGAAAGTATTTTATGAGACGAATCCAAAAAGATTCCACATAACTATATTTTGCTTAACATATAAATCATATTATATGGTCAAATTAGAGTGATGAATAGTGCAAAGTTTATTGTTACAATATTAATAGTATTGAGGAAGTAATATTAATCAACTTTTAAACACTCATAAAGTCATAATGTATTAGATTAACTATTAACTATTAACTATATATACTAGCCTTTCTAACGTGTATCTATTAAAAAATACACATTAACATTAAAATACAATCAAAGTCATTACAAGCCAAAGGTTACCCTCTTTTCAAAAAAAAAAAAACAAAGCCAAAGGTTACCCTACTTTAATGGTTTATCAAAGCTGCCATAAAATTGTTAAAGTTACTCCAGGATTGATCGTCTTTTAAAAAAAGACTAACAAAAGTCCGCCATAGCTTAGATTATCTAGATATTTAATTAACCTCCAAAATCTATTCTATGTTAAGCTTAAGATCAAGACAAAATAAGTTATACTATGTTAACGCGCGTGCATCAACATCAAAAATGAGTAGGACAATTTCATGTTAATTCAATTACCAGTTCAACCACAGAAAAGTATGCAACAAAAAACTTGAGCTCTTTCCCAAAATAATGTCAAGAAAAACCTCAATTCCCAAATTACAGCCACTTCTTTACATTTTCCCAATCTACCGTCCACGTAAGCATTGGGTAAAAAAACCGGGTTTTTTTTTTCCGGTCCAGGGAAAACCGCTACTTCAAGTAGCGGTTTCTAAAAACAAAACCGCTACTTCAAGTAGCGGTTTTTGTTGTGAATTGTTTTCACTTAATAAACCGCCACTTGAAGTAGCGGTTTTTATTGAGTATACCGCTACTTCAAGTAGCGGTTTTCTTCAATACATCGCTACTTGAAGTAGCGGTTTTGTAAAAAAACTGGTCAAAAAAAATTCCAACTGAACCGGTGACGTGGACGGTAAAGTGGGAATATATAAAAGAGTGGCTGCATTTAGGGAATTACGCGAATTCCTAACCTTGTTTAGGGAAAGCGCTCAAAAAACTTAATCCGCACAATGTAACGCCTTATGTATACAACAACCAAATTCAGAAAACAAAAAAATTACTAAATAATATTCGTATGTTATGTTCATATAACTCTATGAACAAATCAACAATGATGAATAAAAATATGGTAAGGATATATGAATCTAACGACCAATTTTAAGGCTTGTACTAAGCATTGAAGGACAACTAGAGCCGTCTGATGACTGCAGCACCGGAACATGATAGGTTGGAATAGGCATCGCCGGAGGAAGACTAGGCAAAGCAGCCTCAAAATTAAGCACTTGAATAGCTTGTTTTATAGATGGCCTATAATTGTAATCAGGATGAACACACCACAAACCAACTAAAATCAAACACTCGACTTGTTTAACATCGAATTCCCTACGAAGCCTTTGATCAGACGCCGAAAGTAGCCTCCCATTGCCATAGAGATCCCACACCCATTGTATCAATCCCTTCATATTAGTCCCTTCATCAATTGGATCCATTTGCCTCCTTCCGGTAGCAATCTCTAATGCAACCACACCAAAACTGTATACATCCGATTCTTTACTAGCCTTTCGTGTACTTATGTATTCCGGTGCTATGTACCCTATAGTCCCAGCCAGAGTTATTGTCTGAGCAACACGTCCATGTTCCATCAACGTTGCTAGACCAAAATCCCCTAACTTGACATTAAAATTAGAATCTAGCATTATATTGCTCGATTTTATGTCACGATGCACCACACATTGCTCCCATTCTTCGTGCAAATAAAGCAACCCTGAAGCTAACCCTTGAGCTATTTTGTATCTCAAAGGCCAAGATAAGGGTGTCTTCTTACCAAATAAGTGACAATCCAAGCTACCATTTGGCATAAACTCGTAAACAAGTAACAACTTAGTTTTATCATGGCACCAACCCAAAAGTTGTACAATGTTTCGATGTCTTAGCCTACTAATAATCTTAACCTCGGCTATGTACTCTTTTTTCCCCTGTTTCGATCCCCTGGATATTTTTTTCACCGCGATTGGCAGATCCATGTCGTTAAGATAGCCCTTGTAAACGGCTCCAAACCCTCCCTTCCCCAACTTATGTTCACTTGAGAAACTGTTGGTGGCTGATTCAAGCTCGGAATAAGAAAACCTTCTTGGCCCGACTCCTCTCTCAAGTTCATCATTGAACGAGGTTTCCTCGTCTTGTTTCATATTCGCCTCCTTCCTCTTTCGATGCACAAACAACACTAGCATCCCTCCCGAAATAGCAACAAACGCGAATGATGATACAACAACGACAATAATAATAATCCGCTCCTTAGATTTGTTATCCTTGGGATGATCATCACTATTGTTATTATTCGTAAACTCGATTTTTTCCTTAGGATCATCACTAGTAGTGTCAACAGACTTCAAAGTAGAATAGAATTCCCATGATTCGAGAGTGTGTCGCTCCTTAGCTACCCCAGTTCCAGCTGAAAATCCGATGTTAACCAATTCAGGAAGGACTTTCGTAATATCGATTTGTATAGACATGTTTGAATCTTTATTAATATTTGGATCATTTTTGTAAGACCAAAACACGTTTAATACCTTAGCAGTCGCGTTATAATTGATCCAAACATCAGCAGGTTGTTTACTATGCTTACTCGCGTTCCATGGTCTATGAGCCGAAGAATTGAGAGAATTGATGTTTATGCCAACATGCTCTTTTTCACTAGGATCAAAAACATTTGGAAATGAGTCAAACTCGACTACTATTATTGGTGTACTCGACGTTACATATGTTGTTTGATTAAATAGGCCTAGGTATGGACCGTCGGAGCCAGGTGGGATTTTAAAACCCACCGGAGCAATGAAAAATGTGAACCCATGCCCGTATCTAGGTGCCTTAAAAGTGTCAACAACGAAGGTAAAATGTGTTGAAAACTCGGCGATTTTGCCTAGACTTTTATCCCAAAGACGTACATTCTCACCATATGTAACGATACCAACACGTTCTTTGTGAGAAACATAGTTGAACTCTATTTTACCTAGGGAATTTTCAGCATTACCCTGGAAATGTAAGTTTGAGTTTGAATCAAATCGAGAATAGTTGAATGAAGGAGAGGTAATAATCCGAAGATTAGAAAGCAATAGAAGGGCAACGATTAGAGGGAAACAAATCGAATTAACTCGAAAAAATTGTGGGAAGCTAAGGTTGAAAGAGGTAGCCATTCTATGGAAAAAATGAAAAAAGAGTTTGGAATGAAGAACATAATTTTGTTGCAAAATTTAATATTATTGTTATCATTATTCAGATGAACTATGAATTATGAATAAATATTATACACATTGTATATAATCTATAAATGATAGTGTCAAACCAATTTAGGAAAAATTATACTCTTTTTAAGTTTTATACTCTTTTTAAGTTTTTGATTCATGCCTTCAACATCAGATTGTACATCGTGATGAACACTTTGCAATTAATTATATATTAATGAATATTTAGCTAATTTTAAAATTCTTAATTTTATTGTCAGTTGTCAACTGGCTTTAAAAAAAAAAAAAAAAAAAAAAAAAAAAAAATTGTCAACTTGATCAAGAAAATGTATAGAACTAAGAGAGACATGGTCTTCTTGTCCTCCAAAGTCAATTGACTTCTTTGAGTTGCTGTTGTTAACAAACATAAAATGAAAAATAAAAATAAAAAAAAAGGTCAATTGACATAATCAGAGCCTTCACAATAAGGGGTTAAACCGGGGGAGCTCAATTACAAGTTCAACTCCGATCCTTAACGCTAAACAATTAAACATATTATCAATCTAGTAATATATAAGTGTATTAACTTAAATCTTGCGTTTTCTTTTAGTTACAAGGTTAGTTCTAACTTTTACATTTGTCAATATAATGTATGATTTCAATTTTGATGTATCTAATTAATTATAAATAAATAGGTAAAAGCTAATGAGCGCCCCCGGGGCGTTAGATAAGAGAATTAAAGTGCAAATATTAGAGTAAAATTAACATTAATTACACCGAATGACGCGTGATTTTGTCATGAATTCCTAACTTAATACCATTTCAACCAATATAATTTATCCTTATCTAACGTCGCGGGGCGCTCCTTAGCAAGATCGAAATAAATAAATGAATATAAAAAATTGCATTGTGAAAATATAAATTAAGACAAATGTAACAAGATCATACATTATGATAACTACGGTTTTTTTTTAAGCATATAAATCAGCAAGGGTGGAAAAATGAATTAACGTAAAAATGTAAATTTCCAAATGTTGCAAGCGAACGGAGAATTTTTTTTTTTTTTTTTTTAAGACATTTTAGCATACATGGTGTTTAGCTAAATAGAATAATATAGGTACGGAGTAATACTTTCTTTAAATTATGGTTTCCAAAGAAACTGTTACTACTGGAAATGACGGTACCAATGTGCCATGGTAAAGATTATATTTTCACGGACCCTAGAAGGCCTAGATACAAACCTTGACTAAGTATAAATTCATTCCAATTTCAAATCAAACAGATATAGCAAATTAAAGTATGAGATTCATATCCATATTGTCCAGAGTTGAGTTCTTAATTCATTCATATCATTATAGTTGAGTTCTTAAAATCGATCATAGGCTTCATTCATCAGATTAAACTTTTGATTGAGTTGGTTTTCTAATATTTCGCGCTAGGTTGTAAAGAGGCTTATGCTACATCTATATTCAAGCTCAAATAACTCTCATATGAAGAGACATGATAGAATATGTGAATTAATTATAAGTTTAGAGAAATTATTTGAATCTACAAGTCAGCAAACCCCTTTGAGAAGGACTGAAGGAGAGTATATCTTAACGCGACCCATGAACCTATATTGGGCCTATATATTGGTTTCAGTACATTTTTGACATATAAACCATAAAAGAAAGATTGGGCCTCTATCTGTGAACTTAGGGCGGGTGTGCCTCGCTTGCCCTAGTTCAAAAATGGCTTGGTAAAGAGTATAATTATCACACTTGACACTTCATAGTTTCCTGGTCAAAAGCACAGAAGTAAAGATTTTACCGTATAATAACTATCGCAAGCAAAAATCATTACCAATGTAAAAAATTAAAGTGTGCAGATAAACTCCAAATAGAACATAATCGCCATATGCCCATATATTATTATTAATTTACCCTTTTTTTACACGGTAAGATAGGAAGGGTGCCTCTCCTATCATAGGAATAGTGGGGTGAGGAACGAGACTAGGTCAATCATGAGGGAGATGGAAGGGAGGAACAAACCGTCCCTCCACTCCATAATCCTCGTCGCCATATATTATTTGTTGTACCTGATAGTGACGAATTTAGGAAGTTTGTTTAATTGGATGTATGCGTTGGTTGTTTGACTATTAATTGTTTATAGGGATGTTTGATAAAATTGATTGTCAATTGCTGGTTATAACTATGCAAAACAACCTTTAAAAATTGTAAAATATTTTAGAAATTATAAAAAGTTTCGTTAATTTGAAACGTACAGATGATTTGTGATGAGATTAAAGATGCACTCAGTAGTCTCATCTAATGGTTATTAATAGAGTTAAGCATACTATTAGGACCTAAAGTTTCACAATTTTTATCGTTTGGGACCTCTTTTTTAATTTTACATGGTTTGGGACCTCTATCCAAACTTCCGTCCAAATTAGGTTAAAATAACCCACATGAGTTAAAAATAATGGGTCCACATGAGTTAAAACCCCAAATGGCCAAAAATAATACTTTGTATGTGCAATTCTTTCGTGGGATTTGAACATCTATTAAACTTCTCTTCTAAAGTTTTTCATTATTCATCTTTCATCTACCGTTAAAAATATTTATCTCTTACTAGCAATAAGCAATTCTACAGGTATACTACTTCTCTTTGTGTTTTTATTTCAAAAAGCATATGAACTGATTTCCTTTTTAGTGGTTTTTGACTTAAAGGGATTAATTTAAGAGTTTTGATATTGAATTACAGAAAACGAAATTAGGGAGGTAAGATATAAATTATTTTTGCTTGGTAAATATCAATGTTAATGTTTGTAATCTACAAATTTTTGATAATGTAATACGGTTCAATGGTAAGGCCTTGATATATTTACGTAATTGATGAATTAATCTAAATAAATTGATTTAAAGATGAAAAATAATGTATATAGAGTACAATTCAAGTGAATTTTAGCATTCCACTATATTAATCCTGTCAAAGTATTCCCAATTTTTGTAAAAAATTGCTTCAATTGTTGTAGGTGTTGTACTGTTTTTGCATATTAAAGCAGGAAAAAACGGGAGTATATTATTGCCTAGTATTGTGGATTTGTGGCAGTATTGTTTTTGTTTAATGTAAAAAACTTTTTTTCAAGGATGTTGAATTAATTCTCCTTTTATGAATAGTTAATTATACCTTGAGTTTACCTTTGGTTAAAGTAACAGAAGTTTGGATAGAGGTCCCAAACCATGTAAAATTAAAAAAGAGGTCCCAAACAATAAAAATTGTGAAACTTTAGGTCCCAATAGTATGCTTAACTCGTTATTAATAATCTTCTTATGTAACACATTGATGCCTCATTAACTGAATTTTTATTAAAAATATATATAAATAAATAAATAATTTATAAAAAAAAAAAAAAAAAAAAAAAAAAGCGGTATTGACAATTGAACTTGATAAGGGTTGACAGGTGACAAGAGTAAATTAGTACTCTTTTTTTTTTTTTTTTTTTTGACAACTCGAGTAAATTTGTACTTGATCACCTAATTAAAAATACAATACTCGTACAATGTACAAACACACAGTTTCTTGTATATCAGTACTAGTGGGTATACAATGTATATGCTAATCAATGCAGCTGTTACACATAATGTTTCTCTCTTACTAAGCATACAACGTTCACACTTAATCATAGCATTGATATATAGTGTATGATTTTCTCGCTAATTTTTAGGGGATTAAATAATGTCTCTTTAAGGCACACCATACTTTTCAACTTGGGATTGTTTATCTCTTCTTTCTCCCATTTTTAAGGAGGTTTTTAGACTCTGATTAATTTACTTGAGAACATCCTGAAAATTGGCGGCTAAAATTGCTGCCACCCAAAAAATAAATTAAATTACTTTTAAATAGATATCACCTTGCACAAATGAACTTTTGTTACAAGAAAGGGGTTTTTTTGTATAGAAAAAATATATTATATGTATAATTAAAAATTATTTTATAAAGATTCGACATTATATTTTTGTATCATAGATAATAAGGTATCATATTTGAATTGAACGTATATCTTTATGTATTGATAGAGTCATAGAGCACACGAGCTATCTAGCAAATTCGAAAGATAAATAAAGAATCAAATTGACAAATCAAAATTACTTATATATGTGTAATAATGTGGTGTGTATATATATTTGCCATTAAAAGAAGGGTTTTTTTTTCTTCAAAAAAAAAAGAAAAAAAAAAAATTGTTGGTCGAAACTATTAACCTTACAAATGTGAACTATCCTATGATCCTAACACATGTGGATATAACCACAAATCCTTCCTTATTCATCAATTTGTCACAACATACTATCAAGAAAAATTAATGGAAACAGTTGAATTATAGACATCGAGTTTTTCAATGCAAGACATAATTATTATGGTAATCTTTGTCTATGTTCTTTGAGAAACTTCTAACGTGTGATGACTACCCAAATAAATCTTCTAATTTACTCATCATATTATTATTAATCAGAGATGACATTAGTTGTTTAGTTCGTTGAAAATGTCTTAAATTTGATTTAATTAATTAATTAATCATTTTTTTAAAAAAATAAAATTTAAAAAATAAAGTTTTAACAATCGGTATACTCAACAAAACCTTTCAGTCGTTCACCCCTTCGTCTTTTTCAGAAGCACGCATTTGATATCCTTTGACAAATGGGTAACTTAAAGAACAGGTTAAGGGGATTTGACAATTGTATTTGTGTTTATCTTTTCCAATATAAATATATTTCATTGAATACATCTTAAGAGATTTCTATGCCATTATTAATAATGATTTCTTTTTTCAATATATAAACAACCATGATTATTTATATTGCTTAGTTTTGTATATATATTTTGTACCAAAACATTGCTACCATGAAATAAAAAACAATTTCTTATTTTACTTTTATTGTTTAATGTTGCATATATAAACCAGTATTGCTAAGAAAAAACATAGTAAAATTGACCATAAAGTATATATCCGTAAATCCGTAATCATAACCATAATTAAAAAAAATGAATAAAAAATTTCAATATATAATCACGTCTTATTAGGTTATTATCATGATTTCTATTTAAAATATAGGCCAAACTTTCGAAAGTTATAAATATAATCATGGTATGACGTGTGATGTCTCTCTATTTAATTGGGTGATCTATCCATATCAAGTTGACAATATACAATGCCTGAAATTTCCATTAGATAGATGTGGTAATTTCTGCAAATATAAATGATATGCTACATTTATATGGTGTGAAATTTTGCACACAACTATTCATAGATAGAATATAAGCTGAAATAAATGGTGTGAAATTTTGCAATCATTAGGCTTGATCTTGGTAACTAGTTACGCAATAGCCGTTAATTTCTAACTTATTTGTCTTAGAATTTTTGTCTCAACTATTAATTAATGTAATCAACGCATGATTAGTTGATTACTTTATGAAAAAATAATTAGAAGTACATACTACATGAAATTGCTACCAAAACAAGTGTATTAAAAAACACTTCAAACACTAAAAATCATCCTTAAATTCAGGTAAAGGAAATTATTACAACAGAAGCATCGTATTTGTTCAAATTCATATAAGAAAAATACTAGGATTAAGCAATAGATGAGCTGTGCTTTTTAAATTACAAGTATAACATACCAAAACTATTACACGTCTCTTTTGATATAAAACTTTTGCATAACATAACATGATAATGATCAATTTATTTGTTTAGCCATTGACAAATGAATATTAAGAAAGAAGAGCACAAACCACCCGAGGCAGCTATCCTAGAGAGCATTTGGGCCAACTACATCGGTGTAACAAATTCACAAGAAGCATGGAATAATACACCGAGAATTTTTCAAGATTGGATCGGAATACCTTCTTTAGAAGAGGAAAATGATGGACCTTCAAACGCGCTTAAAAGGCTACCAAGCCTAGGAAGATGGGTGTCAATGGGTTCCGAGACATGGGAAGAATTACTTGATAAAATCGTCGGTTCTAGTACAAAAAACCCTAGGGAAACTTGTTACGTGGAGGACAAGAAAAGTGAGACGAGTAACAATTCAAAGGAAAACATGGAGAAGACTAATAAAACCATACCAGTTAGACATTATAGAGGAGTAAGAAGAAGGCCTTGGGGAAAGTACGCGGCTGAGATAAGAGACTCAACGAAGAAAGGAGGTCGAGTTTGGCTAGGAACATTTAATACCGCGGAAGAAGCAGCTTTGGCTTATGATAAGGCGGCCTTAAGAATAAGAGGGGCGGGTAAGGCTTCTCTTAACTTCCCCCTTGAGGCGGTCACTAAAGCCGTGGTTGGAAGTCAATATGACAAGAATAATAGTCATTGTAATAATCCTTGGAAAAGAGAAGCAAGAGATTGGGAGCTTCGACAAAGTGATTATGTTGATGAGTTGATGATTCAACAGCCATCTTTTAAAAGATCAAGATTTAGCATGGATAATTTACTTGATTCTCAACATGATGTACTTGAGTTGGAAGATCTTGGGAATGATATATTGGAATATTTACTTTCTTCAACATTATGATTGTGTGTTTATTTGTCTATATATTGTACATATATGAGATTTATGTATTGTTTTCATATGTTTTGTGTGTCTCAATCCATTTTATGTAACGTTTGCCTATTATTGTTATATACGCTTATCAATAATGTAATATGTTTTTATACCTCATCATGTAATATATGAAATTGTTATGTGTGTAATATGTTGGTAAATTATTGATTGTCATTAGTAATTTTATAATAAGTCCACTCATTTTGAGTCACACTTCAATGGACTAACCGTGGAGCAAGAAGGATCTCTCCATTTTGATCCATCAACACCCAATTGATGGGTAGAATTTAGCATTGAATCGTCTTCAAGGAATGGTCCATGTATAAGGTCAAAGTTTCAATTCATGGCTCATAATATTATCATTCCTCTGTTGTTGTTTTTTTTTTTTTTTTTTTTTAGTTGCAACAGTTTTACATTATTCATGTATTTCACTTTGATTAACATTGACGGTTTTACTTAAGTAAAAATATAGTCACGTGGAATCTTGTTAGACTTGTCTCGATTTGTACAATTTTAATATCAAATTTTTATATTTTTTACAAGTACATGTTTGTAATTAAAGATATTAACGATTGAAAACATGCATCAGCAAGCATGAAAATAGAAGTGTTGCAACTAAAAAAAGGGAAGTATATAATAAATCATGAGAAACATCTTGTAGACTAGTTTAAAGTGCGTCTTTGCCTTTTGTTACACCGCTGAAGTCCAATATACTCCCTCCGCATTCAATTATCTGCAACATTTGTCATAATTGGGTGCTACATATTATCTGCAACAAATGTTTTTATTTCTATGTTTAGTAAAATTTATAGTGTAATAAGTCATCATTACCCTTACTTTTTTGTTTTAAATTTGTTTAACTTATCTTAATTATACACAAAGGGGACCACCTTTTCTCTCCTTTTTCCCACTCAAATGTACCCACATGCAAAATTAAGTCACATGCACCACTTTCTCTCTCCTATTTCCCTCATTTTTTCCAACTTAATTAAACACCTTAACTTGTCATTAAACTTTCCTAAAAGTTTTGCCTAGGAGTCCGTAAAAGTTGTCTTTGTTGCAGATAATTGAAACTGGAGGGAGTATATTTCTTGCATGAATCCACGATGTTAGAGCGAGGTGTATTAACACAATTCATCATGGTATCAGAGCTATGTTAAAAAATTTCATTATTTTTTTTCCATTAAATTTTTTTATTCTTTCTTCATGTCTTCTTATACACCACCCTTTTCCATGCACATGCAACTTTGTTAAACCATATGCTCTTATCCCTTTTTAACAATTATCAAATTATGGAATTTTATACTCGATAGGCCCTCATTGCCTTCAAACAATATTCACAATAATAACCCTTGTAAGCACCCTAAAAAAAAATATTCACACTTATTTCTGATGAGTCAACGACATTAAATGCATGCTTTTACTATTCTAAGTGGTTCATAAAACATTGCAAATTACAAAAAGGAGCAACACACTCTACATACTTTACTATATAGGAGTACATAATTCTATGAGTAAATTAATCACGAAACTATTACCTTGAAAATTTTGATCAACTAAATTTTGTTAGAACTATTTTCTAACTAAGATAGATAGTAATAACCAGCTCTTTTCAATGAACTTATTTGAACTTGACTTAGTGGAGTGAAGCGACTCCAATTTCACCTTATATTTACATGTATGATTGGACTTGATCAACCTTGCTCAAATAATTAGTCATGAAACCATTTTTAAGAAGAAGAGAGTGCCCTTGTCTTTAAAAATAAGCATATGAGATCAACATAGCTACAACATTATAATTAATCACCATACATGCTAAGGTAGAAGTAGCTATGTAGAACACTAGAACAATCAATTAGTAATTAAACATGGATCAAAATAAATTTCTATATAGCTAATGAAATAAGAAGTCTTTTCTACAAAATTAAAATCTTTAATTGCAACATGTTTGTAGACATACAATACATGTGTATACATGTCCAACAAAAAAGGATAATATAAATTCAATGTCAATTATTTCAAACTTGTTGTGAAGAACTATTAGAGGTACTAGCAACAAAATTACTAGGGTGATAGCTGTTAATCAACCCAACAAAATCCCCTGAAACTGATTTTCCTATATGAGCAGGAAAATTAAGCAAGGCCTTAGCACCCCTCATCTTAAACGCAGCTCGATCATAGGCCAACGCCGCCTCCTCGGCTGTAACAAACGTCCCAAGCCAAAGCCGAGCACCATTTCTTGTCGAGTCACGGATTTCAGCCGCGTATTTGCCCCAAGGCCGTCGCCTTACACCTCTATAGTGCCTCTTGGCTATACCACCACTAATTGTAGTTGTAGGAGTAGAAGATGTCATATTTCGTTTCGCAATGTTTTGAGGATGATATTGTTGTTGGTACAAGTTGTTCATGGTATTATTGGCTTCATTAAGAACTTGGTATAAAACCATGTCTTGGGAATCATTTTCATTCAAGGGTAGCTCTGTTTGTGGCATTTTTTTATGTTGGTTATAGTTTTGGATGATGAATTTTGGGTGTTATAATTTTGAGATTTTGGAGTTTTTAATTAGTGAAATTGAATGGTAACTAAGATATGGTGTTTGGAAATTAGAAAGTAGAGAAATTTTTAGGATGTTATTTTCTTAGATATATATATAAATAGAATTGATAATAGTGCATTATAAAAATCTAAAGCATTTGATTTGACTAGTAATTAAAGTGGACATCATATAATTTAATTTAGTCTTACATTGGACTTTTCTTCCATCACTATTAAGATGGCGGGGTAGAAGATCATGGCTTATCTTTATGCATGTTAATTAGTGGAAGTACATGTGTAGAAAGTTATCATTGAATTGAATAACGGGATAATTCAAATCATTTCATGTAATTTAAGTAGAACTTAATCTTTTCACTTACTATAAAGTATTAAAGTGTCTTGAATTGGTGTGATTTTAATAAGTTTAAATTTGGTTTCATGTGCATGGTTTAGATCTATGTATATGAAAAATATAATCTTGTAATTCTTTTTAAATACTACCTCTGTTTCATATTATTTTCTCTCTACTTTATATCAAATCGTTGCAAATAATATGAAATGGAGGTAGTATATGAAAAACACTTTTAAGTGTTTAATCCAAAAAATAATATTGTAATTATTGTTATACATAGTTAAAGATATACTTATTGTATTTGTAAGGAATATGCCTTGAATCGATATCCTTGAGTCGGGAGCGAGGAGTCAGGAACTAGGAAGAAGTGGGGCAAGACATGTTCATGCCTTGGGGATGCAAGGATATGACTCGACAAAAAAGTATTGAAAACTGACCAGGCACATCAGTGTCTCATCGAGCTTCACATGTATTCGTCCAGGCACGTCCGTGCCTAGACGATGTTCCGACAAAGCATGTCCGTGCCTCAACGGATTTTGAGTTCTGCTGTTTTTTGGAAGTGAGGCACATTCATGCTTTCCATGCCTCAACATTGGCCGATTTGGATACTTTGTTCGTGGACTTTGTTCCCTTAAATTGTTCTAGTCTATGGGTTATTATAAATATCCCTAGGTTATTTCCTAGCCATGTACATGCATTAATCATAATTTGAGTGATTATTCAAAAATCTAAAAGACTTTTATGTATTTCTCATCTGTAAGTTCTAAAAGAGATAACATTAGAAATTTGAGAGACAATCAATCTATTTTCTGTGATCAAATCTATTTTGAATCTGTAATTTGTTTTCTCCAATATCAATAAAAGTATTACTCTCACTTGCCCATAGACGTAGCCAACACATTGTTGGTGAACCACGTAAATCTGTGTCTATTTTTCTTGTTAATTTAACATTTAATATTTGTTCTTTCTTGTATCCGTTATAATACTATTGATAAGTGAAAAAATTAAAATTTTCAATTTGCCTTGATTTTAATATTATGGTCAGATTGATGCAACATGGGCCCTTCTCATACCCTACGCTTAAAATTTCACTTGAAGGTGGGGGTGGATGAGATTCGAACCTATGACCTTTGTGTCACGTTGGTTCTTGATACCATGTTAAAGGACTTTATCAACCAAAAGTTTAAATTGATGGTTGAATTGAAGCCCAATAATATAAATTCTAACAAATATGATTAATAAAAAAATAATGAGTTCGGAAATATAGATGAAAACAAATTCTTAAATCGTAATATTGCTAAAGGTATGTATAGTTAGTTGTATTTTGGTGTGATTGTGTAAGTATTAGGATGCTCGCCTTATGATTTGGACATTATATTTTTAAATCCTATTAGTAATAATAAATTATTTTTGAATGGATTTCCCTTACTATTCCCACACTCCAAAGGTCCAACAAATAAAGTCTACCGAATTAAAATTGATTTTTGGGTGAGGAATATATGGTGGTGAATGGTGATTAATCTCCAAGATTGTGACTTTATCTATCCTTAAAATTCACTTGGTTTTAGAACCAAACAAATTCATAACTTCGCAAAAATCTAAATGACATTTAATTACAAAGCTTTTGTTTGGGAAAAAAAAAGTCATATATAAGTGAAAATTGTATAGTACACCAGGGTGTACCATGCTCATGGTACACCTAGTGTTAATTGATGCGTTTTTAACATATCATTTGCAAGTTGTCAGTTTGTTATTTTAAAAAAAAAAAAAAAAAATCAATCTCTTCCACAATTCATGGGATTCAACGTGATATTCTCCATTTTTACATAACTTTTAAAATTAAATTTCACCATATTTCAATTTTGAATTAAGAGAGAATAAAGTTTATAAAGAGTTTTGTAGAGAAAAAAATACATAGCAAATTATGACAACATTGTAATCGATGGATCGGAGAAGGTAATTTGATTTTATTTGTTATGATTTTAATTTCAGGTTATTGCTTATTAGGTTGATTATATTTCGTGATTATTTTACACGATTATTGTTAAATATCGTCGTTTTTTTTTTCAATTTTGATATTTATGAATTTGAGATCCATATGACAAAGGTTGAAGATGCTGTTCTTTTATTTTGTCAAAGGTTGAAGATGATGTTCTTTATATTTTGTCAAATGTTGAAGATGAAGTTCTTTATAAATTGTACTTATGTTCGTCATTATAGTTATTGAACAATTATATGAATGTTCTTTATTTTTATCCTTTATGTTCTTTGGTTCGATGTTCTTTGATTTATTCTGTATTTTTAAATAATATATCATTTATTAATTTTGTATATATTTTTTTAATATTAATAATCACTAACTATGTATATAGTTTTTAAAAATTGGGATCGTGAAGGTTGATGACAATATTCTTTTGAGATCTCCTCTATTGATGATTGTTTTTCAGATCTAAAGAACATCCGTAATATTATTAAAGAACATGATAATAGTATGTAATGAACATAACTTATATATATATATACTTACAACGATCCAAAAACAAAATTCAAATAACATTTCACAATAAGCAATGAACATTATGTGACGATAAAAGTACATTGCAATTACAATAAAAAACATGGACAATTAAAATAAACTATCAAAAAATCTAATAAAAATCATTTTATGATATAATTGTGGACATAAGGAAAAAGATATACTTTTACAAAATAATTGTACATTACAAACAACTATAAAGTACATCATGTTTCTAATAGAGAACATTATTAAATCACATATAGAATATCACAAAAAATTTATACATACCAACCCTAAAATGAATATTGTAACTATATATATTAAAGGTGAAAAATATGAACGAAATAAAAAAAAAATTGAAAACTAAAATTTTGAAAACGAAATTTTAAAATTTAAATTTTGAAATTTAAAAACGAAATCTTAAGTTATTTTTCGGTGAAATAATTTTAAAGAATAATTTTTTTTTTATAAAGAACATTATATAGTCATATAAAGAGCCTCATAAAAAGTACACAGAACAATCATTAAAATAAATATTATAATTAAATTTTTTAAAAAAATTGGTGAAAAAATATTAAAAAAATATTTATTTATTTTTTAAAATAAAGGGAACTAAATATAGTATTTTGGATAATAACATTTTGAAAATGAAATTAAAATTGTAAAATTTAAAAAATGAAACTAAAATTGTAAAATTTAAAATTTGAAATTCAAAATTTAGGTGTACCATGTGCATGGTACACTTGGGTGTAGCAACCACGCATTGTATATAAGCTAAGCTTTCTTGCCTTAGGCCATGTTCTATTCAGCTTTAAAAAAATAATATTAAGTAAAAGTAATTTCAGTTCAGTAAAAATAAGTTCAGTTCAGTAAAATTTAGTTTTCTTAAAGAAGAATTATAATAAAAAATCAGTAAAAATAATTTCAGTTCAGCAAAAATAATTTCAGTTCAGTAAACTTAATTTAAGTTCAATAAAAATAATTTAAGTTCAGCAAAAATAATTTCATTTCAGTAAAAATAATTTCAGTTAAGCAAAATTAAGGTGAAGAGAACAGGGCCTTAGTGATAAATATCATGTCTATCTTATATACTCAATTTACTTTAGTAATTAAATATATTTGCAGTACAAATTAAGCATTGACAAGTATTTCATGTATCTCTAAATATTTCTCCCATTGTAAAAATATGGGTCAAATTATAAAATATTTGACCACAAAATACTTTGAATCTATTAAAAATAATAATAATAAAATCATGTGAAATCTTGTTCGATTTGTTTCATTGTACTTCCTCCATTTTTATTTTATTGCACCATTAAGACTTTTACACTATTCACTTAATCTTCTTTGACCATCATTTGTGATTTATCCATTAGGAAAAATATAGTCATGTGTATCTAGTTAGATTCGTCTTGAAATCTTCTTTTCAAATATCAAATTTTTTTAATTTTTACAAAAGTATAATTAAAGATATTAACAGCTAAAGTAATGCATTGGCACTACTCAAAAAAAAAGGCATTGGCAAGCGTGAAATCCCTCATGGTGCAATAAAAAAGAATGGAGGAAGTATATTTTATTGCTATTTAGTTTTTATAATATTTGCACTTATAAAAATGGAGATAAAACCGTTTTAAAATACGTTTTGAAGACCGTGAAAAGTCAACTAGGGCAATATATTAAGAACGGTGATTAATAAAGAATGGAAAAGTACTTCATTAGCTGCCAATGACATATCATTCTCATTCAATTAATTGAAATTGAAGACTGTTTATGACAATATATTGAAGTGGACTTTCGTCATAGCTTTTTTTTTTTTTTTTTTTTTTGTGAAATACATTATTATAAAAATAGTAAAGCAAGAATTAAAAGGTAAATGAAAGGCGTCTATGACCATGATTCTTCGATCTTGAATGTCTTGATGATATAGCATATATTCACAATTTCAATTATAAACTTTTTATTTTTATAATTTTGAAACAACTTTATACAAGTCTTTCAATTCAGTTAATGGGGTCCGTTTAAGAGCTCTTATGATCGTGGAAACGACTGAATTTGAACAACTTGAATAATAATGTATTATGAGTAATAGTATTCGCACGTGTCTTGACTAGATGACTTTTACTATTTGAACAAGAATTATATATGAGGTCGGAGATGTTCATATTTGTGGTGCATATAATAAATGGAGGATCCCACTTTATAAAGAACCTAAGCTCGTTAATGACAAATGGAACAGTTTTTTTCTCTAAATAATAATAATAATAATAATATAATAATAATAAAAGGTTTGTACTTTATAATGACAAGCTAAGCGACACACAAA